GATAGTAAAGGTTCATGTCTCATTTTCAAATGTTCTTGATGGCCTCCCTTTTTTCTTTAAGATATGCATAAAAGAAGATATCCACATATTTCAATTATCTGACTCTGGAAGCAGGCAAAATTGTGCCAGATCTTCCAGATTATGATAGGCAGCCAATGGGGTTCGGTTCTTGGTAAGTGTACATGGATTTCAGATTCACTGTTTTTTTTAAAAAAAATGTGGATTTTTGTTTTGTTTTCTGTATTAGGACGTTAGAGGGTTTCTTGGGGTGTGTGTGTGAACATCATGTGCTGTGTATGTTTAACTATTTGTGCATGATTGTATATCTTCTCTGGTCAAACGCCCAGGGATGAATGCTGGTCTCCTTTCCCATAATAAAACTGTATTACTTGGGGGCGGGGGCGGAGACCCTATTAAATCCTTACTCAAACTCCATTAGACAATGGATTGAGAAAGAGGCGGGAGCTTGACACTGTCGAACCCATAACTGATAAAGACTGGTGAGAAATCTGGGCTGGATTTATGCCAGGTCAGTTTCTGCCAGAGTTAGGGAAAACACTTTTAAACTCAATCACCATTGGTAACTTGAAGTCTGCGGACAATAAACGCCGGAGAGCGTGCTGGGCCCCGGGTTCTTGTTATTCCGTGCCGTGGTCCTGCCCAAAGTCACCTTATTCTGGTGGAAAACATTTTTGGAAATGAAACATATAACTAACCCAAAGCTTCCACTGCCCAGTCCTAGACACACTTTCCTTTCTCTCTTTGATTCTGAAACATTGTTACGGCGGCAATATTTAATTGCATGCCTTATAGAAGCAGCTAGGCTACAGCTGAGCTTTGCAGAACTTGTCAAAAGAATGAACTCTTCAGATGGGGACTTTGGCACTGATGGAACAACCGACTCATAAACTTCGAGCCCCAAGCAATGAACATGCTCCTCATAAGTTTTACACCATCTGGTGAAGTTTTATTTTGTATGCAGTAGCAAAGGAACAGAGCTTTCACCCGCCTAGCAGACATGGACATAATGTGGAACAGCACTTTGGGATAATTTGTATTGAACCAACCAGGTTGACCAGGAAGGTTGGAGGTGGGTCTGTTTGATTTTTCTCTCTCCTTTACTGTATTTACAAAATAATAATAATAATAATAATAATAATAATAATAATATTATTATTATTATTATTATTAAAAAGAAAGCCCACAGATGCAACTTTAGAAGCACTTTTGCATCTTTGTCTTTTGGCAGGGCTTACTTCAGAGGAGAGGGACGCAGGTGGCGCTGTGGGTAAAAGCCTCAGCGCCTAGGGCTTGCCAATTGAAAGGTCGGCGGTTCGAATCCCTGCGGCGGGGTGCGCTCCCGTCGTTCGGTCCCAGCGCCTGCCAACCTAGCAGTTCGAAAGCACCCCCGGGTGCAAGTAGATAAATAGGGACCGCTTACAAGCGGGAAGGTAAACGGCGTTTCCGTGTGCGGCTCTGGCTCGCCAGAGCAGCGATGTCACGCTGGCCACGTGACACGGAAGTGTCTCCGGACAGCGCTGGCCCCCGGCCTCTTGAGTGAGATGGGCGCACAACCCTAGAGTCTGGCAAGACTGGCCCGTACGGGCAGGGGTACCTTTACCTTTACCTTACTTCAGAGGAGAGGTGGTGCAGAACTTCATTTCAGTTCACACTGAAAGGTGACTCTGCCTATTTTGTACTTTCCCAAACAATACACAAACTGAAACGTAGCGCTTCATCAAAATTCACGCTTCTCTGAATTTTGAAATGAGGTTCTACAGCCGAGTAATGTGTAAAAAAGGGGGGCATATATTAAGGCAATGTGTACATAAAAATGAAAATAACCTACACATACATTATGTCATGGGATATTGCTTTGCAACAATGTGCATGTAAGGCAAAACTGCACGCAAACATTTTTATATTAGGAGAAATTCAAACTAAAATACAAACTGATGTGGAAATGCGGAGGACTGACCTTAAGACTGGAAAATGTAGAATAGGAGGAAAAGCAGAACTGACAGATATGCCCACCTCTACTTGGGAGCGAGTCCCACCTGAAAATAAAGGGATCTTGCAAGTCCATCACAGCCGCCTCGGATGAAGAAGTAAATGATCCTCCCCCCCCCCAAAAAAAATATTGTGTTCCCTTCCAGTTGCAGCTAACTCAACACTGATAGCAGGACAAGATCCTCCATCACAGCTGAAGGCAGAAGGGCAGGCTGCATTGCCATACTCAGCTCTGCCTTCCAGCACTTTGCTGCTGCTCTCAACCTCTGTTGCTCCATGGCAGGCATCCCCAACCTGTGGCTCTCCAGATGTTTTGGCCTACAACTCCCATGATCCCTAGCTAACACAACCAGTGGTCAGGGATGATCGGAATTGTAGTCCAAAACATCTTGAGAGCCAAAGGTTGGGGGGTGCCTGCTCCATGGGCTTCCGGATGGTAAGAACAGTTCTGGCAGGAGAACGATCTGCCCCAGGAGCTGGTGGCCACGGGAGGTACAGTGGTACCTCAGATTAAGTACTTAATTTGTTCCAGAGGTCCGTACTTAACCTGAAGCACCACTTTAGCTAATGGGGCCTCCTGCTGCCGCTGCGCCGCTGGAGCATGATTTCTGTTCTCATCCTGAAGCAAAGTTCTTAACCTGAAGCACTATTTCTGGGTTAGCAGAGTCTGTAACCTGAAGCGTATGTAATCTGAAGTGTATGTAACCCGAGGTACCACTGTATTTAAGTGGACAGTAGGTGACCAGCTGCCAAGGATGCTCAAGCTGCAAGATCCTGGACTACTGCCTGGCTGGTTGGTCTAGACAGCATCCAGGATCCCTTACAGCTCTTAAAATTCCATGGTGGGGAACCTGCTGCCCTCCAGATGTTGTGGGACTCCAGCTCCCATCATCCTCAGCCAGCATGTTCAGGGACTATGGGGGTTGACAACATCTGAAAGGCCACAGGGTCCCTCATCCCTGAGTAGTTTGCATTTGGTAGGGGAACATCAGGCCAGGGATCAAATGCTGCTCTCCCGAAGCCACGCCCCTCTCTCCAGGCCACACCCTTCACTGGTCCTGCTCTGCGTCTTCCTTGATTGCCTTTGCATGGCTGGATTGTGCCCTCGATTGCCTCCTGCTAGCTCAGGTGGAGGGAGAGCTGCCTTTACGCAGGGTGTGCACATGCCTAGCAGGGTTGCACCCTGTTGCACAGAGGCAAGACTCTCGCAGTGCAGGAATCACAGCTAAGAGGCACACCCATGGCTCCTCCCACTCTTGTTTCTGGCCCCACCCACCGCTGGAACCTTGGTAGGCTGTCAAGGAAAGAAGGAGGCCTTCTGGTGGAAAAACAGGTCTCCCATCTCTGCAGTAGGTCCCTTAGTTTGTGGTGGCCGAAGGTGCCAATGAAATGGATTGAGAAAACCCTTAAGAGGAGGTGAGTGAAGATCTAGCTGCAGCTGATCTGGGAAGCCTGAACCAGCCACACCTGAAAGTTATCATCATCATCATCATCTTTTTTTTTGCCCAGGGAGCCTTTCCTTCCCAAGCAAAGAGCCATCTGGGCTCTGATCCAGATCAGGACTGCAATGTGTGTGTATGTGTGGCATGTAGAATAAGGATTAAAGCCCCCTTACCTCCCCCTGCCAGGGTCCCAGTCAGGAAAGGGGTGGGTGGGGCACACACCTGCTGTTTACTTTTATTAAAAAAAATAATCACAAAATTGCTGATTGCATGAATGGCATCAGGTTCCAGCCTGGCCCTTGATGAACACAGCTGTGTGAACTTTGTAAGATGAGCTTTAAGAAGAGAAATGAGCACAGGCATAGATGTCCTTTCCTTGCTCGCAACACCTTCCTTCTACAACTAGGGAAAGGCTGTGGCTCCACATAAGAGCATCTGCTTGGCATGCAGAAGGTCCCTGGCATCTTGAGGTAGGACAGAGAGACACCTGTGTCTGAAACCCTGGGGAGCTGCTGCCAGTCAGTGTAGGCAGTACTAAGCTAGATGGATCAATAGTCTGACTTAGGACAAGGCAGCCTCTTATGTTCTCTTTGTGTGGGTTATGGGCTCTCTCAGGTGTACATATCCAAATTCCACCTTGAACCTTTTCCCCGGTTAAGGAGGCAATCCTAGTTACACTTACCTGGAATTAGATCCCACTGAACTCAATGGATTTATGAGCAGACCCACAACTAAATTGACTCACTCCTTGAGCAGGCTTTGATAAGCTTGCACTGGCAGGGGTACAATCCTAAATTGGCCCATTTGCTTACAGAGCCTGTCTACTCAAAAGCAAGTCTCCCAAATTCATCCCAAGTTAAGTTTGCAGTCTAGAACAGTTCAATCCTAGCCATGCCCTACTCAGAAGTAAGTCCTACAGAAGCCAGAGGTTAGGCTGAGAGTGAGTGACTGGCCTAAAGCCACCCAGGGAGCTTCACAGCCCAGTGAGGATTCAAACCCTGATCTCCCAGGTCCTAGTCCAGCTCTCTAACCACTACACCAGCCATAAAACTGCTATCACATTTGCAAAGCTGAGCAGGATCTGGTGTGGTTTCAAATTGGATGGTGGGCAGCATATTGAGATTCATGCGGTTGAGATTCCAGCATTGCAGGCAGTTGGACTATTTGACCCACGAGGTCCCTTCCATCTCTGCAATTCTGACTGAGGAACAAGCTCTTGCCAGCTTCATTCAGAGTAAACGTGCAATCAGATCAGGCTACAAAGTTGGTGGAGAGGGGGAGGTTTTTGTCTAAATCCAGCTTTTCTTTGGGTATTTTAAGAGGGGGAGTGAAAGGGGCACTGATGCAAGCTCCCACCTTGGTACGGAGATCCTTGCAACACGAGCAAAAAGAAAACACATATATTAATCGCGCTAGCCAAATCCTCTTCCTCTTTCCAGCTGGCTCCCCTCCTCCTTCTCCGAACCTGAAAAAGTGGGGTGGGATGGCTTTCTGCTTAACTCGAGTCTCCAAAATTCAGCGGCTTGTTTAAAGGGGAGGGAGGGAGGGGAGAGAACAGCTTCTCCTGCAACGGGATAGCTCGCATTCTGCAAAGAAAGAAAGAAAGAGACACAGAGAGAATTAATGGGAGTTTCTCCCCATTGTGCGTGAAGGCGCCCTGGAATGCGCATTGTATCCTGTTTGGAAGGAGCAAAGGTGCGCGCGCGCTTTTTTTTCTTCTCCCTCTCTTTCACCGTGCCTGGATTTTGCTACAAAAACACTACACCTTAAGAAGCGTGGATCGAGCTCGCGAATGCATCTCCCTTTGTCTGGACGGATCCTGCCATCCATGGGCTTCTCCCGAATGCCACCGTCTCAGCAAAGCCCTTTAAGGCTGGTCTGCAGCACACCGGAGAGGGCAGCTGTTTTTTGCGCCTTCTGCCTTTAAGTCTCCTTGCTTTCCCGTGGATGTGTGAGGAGGGAGAGGAGAACTCGGTTGCTCCCCAGAGGGAATGTCCCCGGGTGACAGATCTATCTATCTCCCGGCAAGGGGGACAGAGAGTTCCAAAAGTGCTCTTTTGTAAAGGAACAACAGCAGCAGGAGGAACAGCGACAAACAGACCCGGCTGGGTCAAATGGTAGCAATGAACTTCCTTCCTCCGAAAATCGGGGACCTGCCAGAACTGTGACTTCGCTGCAACTTGCTGGAGGCACCTGGGGGAGGTGTGGGGCCGAGGATGGCAGCGATGGCGATCCATGCCCTCGCCCGCTACATCTTTGTCCTCAAGCTGCTTTTCCCTGCCGACGGGAACAAGCTGCTGCCCAACATGTAGGTATTCAAACTTGTCTTTGGATTGGGGCCAAAGCCGGGCGGAAAACTTTTATATATGGGTGCTGTGTGAAAAAGGATAATGGTGGCTGAGAAACTGGACTGTGAAGTGGGAAGTCCTGGATTCAGATTCTGCTCTCTGCAGCTGTTCCTCCGTGTCCACCCCCTCTACCCATGGGCGTAGCCAGGATTTTTTGGGAGGGGGGGCAGAACCAACGTGATTGGTCAGTTAAGTATTTCTATTGTTTTACTTGATCTAGGGGGTGCAGCTGCCCATGCCACCCCCCACTCCAAATCTGCAGTATTGGAGGGGGGTTATAATATTGACCTACCTGGGAAAGTTGGTGTAAGAATTCCTGAGTTAATGATAGTTGTGAATTGCTATGACTAAGGTGCTATGGTGAATGCTAAGTACAGTGGTACCTCGGGTTACATATGTTTCAGGTTACAGACTCCGCTAACCCAGAAATAGTGCTTCAGGTTAAGAACTTTGCTTCAGGATGAGAACAGAAATCGAGCGGCAGCAGCGCGGCAGCAGCAGGAGGCCCCATTAGGTACAGTGGAGCTTCAGGTTAAGAACAGTTTCAGGTTAAGAATGAATTAAGTACTTAACCCGAGGTACCACTGTATGAGGGTTGGCAAGGTTCTGTATTTCTTTTCTCCTGTTGGACTCCTGTACTTTTATCATTCGTGGGGCAAAGATAATTCTGAAGGAGCATCTCCCCCCCCATCATTCTGCCCGGACACTGAGGTCCAGCGTCGAGGGCCTTCTGGCAGTTCCCTCACTGCGAGAAGCCAAGTTACAGGGAACCAGGCAGAGGGCCTTCTTGGTAGTGGCGCCCGCCCTGTGGAACACCCATCCACCAGATGTCAAAGAGATAAACAACTACCAGACTTTTAGAAGACATCTGAAGGCAGCCCTGTTTAGGGAATTTTTAAAATGTTTAACAGACTATTGTATTTTAGTATTTTATTGGAAGCTGCCCAGAGTCCCAGCCAGATGGACGGGATATAAATAATAAATTATTATTATTATTATTCAGATGGTGTAGCTTTTTCTAGGCTGGAGAAAGGAAAATGCTTCACCTGTTTGATTTCTGCTTGGTGTACTGTTTTTTTTTTTAAAGGAGCAAGAGTCCTTGTTGCTGCAGGCAATGGAAAGAGCAGATGGTTTTAATTTTTGGATGATCACCAAGGGTCATTATGAACTTTCCCCAATATTTTTGAGGAATGCTTATCTGTGCACAACAGTTACTATTGTTGTTGCCATTTAACAGGTGGTGACACTGAGACTTGATGAGAGCAATGCTGTGATTCCCAACCAACTTACTCAGGAGTAAGCTCCCTTGGCCACTAGGGGAACATTTCCTCCCAAGTAAACCTGTATAGGGTTGTTCTGTTACCAGTTCACCCAATGCTTGCCGATAACAGAAGTGGGGGCTGTTCAGTGGCACATCTGCTCAAACTCACCTTTACCTCCCTCTCCCCACCCCCCATCAACAAAATGCTCTTACTTAGACATTTCAATTTACAGTATATTGTAGAACCACAATTCTATTGCCTTGGGATTTGATCGAACCTCGGCTTTCCAGATAATACAGATTTCAACACTTTCTACGCTCAGCCATGTTCCTTTGCAAAGTTTAGTTTAAGTTGCTCTGGCTTAAAATGTGTTAAATGAGGTATTTATTTTTTTAAAAAATACCCCCCCCCCCGGAGGAAGGGGATTAGTTTACAGTGGTACCTCAGGTTAAGTACTTAATTCGTTCCGGAGGTCCGTTCTTAACCTGAAACTGTTCTTAACCTGAAACACCACTTTAGCTAATGGGGCCTCCTGCTGCTGCCGGAGCACAATTTCTGTTCTCATCCTGAAGCAAAGTTCTTAACCCGAGGTAATATTTCTGGGTTAGCGGAGTCTGTAACCTGAAGCATATGTAACCTGAATAGTATGTAACCCGAGGTGCCACTGTAAATCGGAGGTAGTCTATGTGGGGTCCTCCAGATGTTGTTGGACTTCCCAATTCCCATTCGTCCCAGCCAGCTTGGTTAATGGGGAGGACTGATGAGATCTGAACAACATCTGGAGTACCACAGGTTAGCCAGCCTAACCTGGATAGTGCATAGTGCTCAGAGCTGCAACCAATTAAACACAGTATTGGGCTAGATGAATACAGAGACAGTGTGGAGTTAGTGGTTAGAGTTTCTGCCCAGAACCTGGGAGTCCAGGGTTCAAATCTCCCCACTCGGCCATGAAGCTCACTGGGTGACCTTGAGCCAGTCACTGACTCACGGCCTAACCCATCTCACAGGGTTGCTGTAGATTAATTGGGGAGGGGAGAACTTTGTGCGCCACTTTGAGCTCCTTGGAGAAAGAGCTGGGATATGAAAGCAACGCCATAAAATAATAAATGCATTTTGATAGTCTACTCCCAGCCTTTGCCAAGCTGGTGCATCTGGAAGACACCAGGAGAATGAGAGCTAATCTACTCCATTTGCAAAAAAAGAGAGAAGACATCCCAGGTAGTTTTAATAATCTTTTCTTGCTCTCGTTGCAAGCCAGCAAAGGAATTTTAAGTGTAGGAGGCGGCCAGCATTTCTCCCTGTGCGCTGAGAGCCAGTGTGGTGTAGTGGTTAAGAGTGGTAGACTGGTAATCTGGGGAACCGGGTTCGTGTCTCCGCTCCTCCACATGCAGCTGCTGGGTGACCTTGGGCCAGTCACACTTCTCTGAAGTCTCTCAGCCCCACTCACCTCACAGAGTGTTTGTTGTGGGGGAGGAAGGGAAAGGAGAATGTTAGCCGCTTTGAGACTCCTTAAAGGGAGTGAAAGGCGGGATATAAAATCCAAACTCCTCCTCTTCTTCTTCTTCTTCTTCTTCTTCTTCTTCTTCTTCTTCTTCTTCTTCTTCTTCTGAACACTTTAGTGCCAAGCAGCAGTTCAGTAGGTGAAGCATTTTTCTTACGTTTTCCCCTGGCCCGCATGGGAAAAGCTCTACCAGTTGAGTATCTGTGCAGCTGTTAAAAGACTCAGAACACATGTGTGCAGAAAGTAATTGCCACTCTGTGCTGCTAGAGCAGAGGTGCAGGGCTTTGGGACTGGGGTCCAAATGTGGCCCTCCAGGGCTTTCTGTCTGGCCCCTGGAAATCTTCCCAGGCTGCACGCCTCTCACTTGCCCTGCTTTGCAGACTCTGAGTGTTTTTGCCTGGCTGGAATGTGCCTTTGAACTCTGATAATAGTTCCTGATTGCTTGGATAGAGGACAGAGGCTGTTTGTGTGTGTGAACTACTGTACAAAGGCAAAATTCACATGGATTGCTCTGTTCACTTTTGCCCCTAGCTCTACCCACCACTGGCACATGGCCCTCAGAAGATGGTGCAGAAGGGAATGTGGCCCTTAAGCTGAAAAAGCATCCCTCACCCCACCTGAGAAAGTTCCACAGTCATGAGGCAGTCATGTTAGTCTCTTGTAGCAAAGTCAACCACTTAATGTTGTGGCCTCTTAAAGACAAATTTAGAAGCTTTTATGGGCTGCAGTAGAACTCTGACAGAAGTGAACTGTAGTCCACAAAAGCTTCCGCTGTAGTAAAGTTATTAGTCTTTAAACATGCCACCAGACTCCTTGGACTGGTTTTCATTTTTGTGTGTGTCTTCTGCAACATGCCATCTATGCAGCAATAGTGGTGGATTTCTGTTGGACCACCCGCACATCCATTCACTCGGTTGTTCTGGAAGGCTTCCCCGATGTTACTGCATTGTTGCTGTGTAGCGGGGCAATCTTGCAGCATGGGACGCGGGTTGTGCTGTGGTCTAAAACCACTGAGCCTCTTGGGCTTGCTGATCACAAGGTCGGCAGTTCGAATCCACGTGACGGGATGAGCTTCCGTTGCTCAGTCCCAGCTCCTGTCAACCTAGAAGTTCAAAAGCATACCAGCCCGAGTAGATAAATAGGTACACCTGCAGCAGGAAGGTAAATTATGTTTCTGTGCGCTCTGGCCATTTAGTCATGCTGGCCACATGACCCAGAAAAGCTGTCTGCAGACAAATGCCGGCTCCCTTGGCTTCAAAGTGGAGATGAGCGTGATACCCCATAGTCAAATTTGCTGGCTGAAACAGTATTGGAAGTTGCAGGATTTCACCAGGAAGCTACAGGACATCTGCCCCAGAACTCTTGCAGGCTGAAACAGTATTGGAAGTGGGATTGTGTATAACTGCCCTGATACCATCGTGAGCTCAAATCATCACAAATGCAGAATAAAATGGATTTCTGGAAAGGCCTTCAGTTGTCCCACCCCAACCCCGAGGAAGTGTGTGTTTTATGGCTGCCATCTTAAGAGCTCAACTAGGAGAAAGTTGTTCACGCTGCTCAGTTGAAAGGATTGCTCATTTTTTACGAGCCCAGTATTTGCCTCCTGTCTTCCTCTCCTCGCAATTAAAGCTTATAGCTCTGGCACTCAGCATACGACTGTGTGAATCTTTGGAAAGTTTCCTTACAAGCTTGAGCTCTGGCCAAGAGCGCCATTCTCGACTCAGCGAAATCGTTGTTTTCCTTTGTAAACCGAACCAGGATTGAACAACATAGTAAATCCAGACCATCTTCTCCATATGTTGTTTGCCCTGTGATGGGATATGTGTGTTAGGCGTTGGGGTTGAGGGTGGGGGGACAGGATCATGTCATCGATGCGCTTTGAAAGACTCCACCATGATGACATTTTCCCTTCTTTAAGTTTATAAGCTGAGCAGCTTGAGGCAAGGATAACCTAGGCTGGTTGAGTGCAAATGCGTTTTGAGAAAGCCGTTGCTGTAGCCTGAATTACAACCCAGTCAAACCCCAGAAGGCTTGGATTCAAGTGGATTTATTGCCCTTTGGATTGGCTCACCACAAATCTCCATCGGCCTTTGTCAACCTGGTGCCCTCCAGATGTTTTGCACTACATCTGGAGGTTTATCAGATTGGCTGGGGTTGATGAGAGTTGTAGTCTAAAACATCTGGAGCACACCTGGCTGGCAAAGGCTGGTCTGAGTATTCTAGTCTACTGTAGGGAGAAGATAAATTGGGTGCTGTAGGATGATTTGCTGTGGAAGGTTTCCCTGTTGCCTAACAACAGCAGCAACAAAACATACCTGCCTTTCTGCCTAAACACCCTTACCTGGCCCATTGAACTCAATGGGACTTCTGGTTAGACATCCATAGACTGTGCAGTTGGAATCCCTGATATATGGAAATTTGGATTTGTACTCTTTGGTCAACTGTGTGGCTCAAGAAAGGGAGGGGTGGTGTGGTTCAATTAAAGGAGCTGGGAGAGCAGATAATGGCAGACGGTCTTCTCTCTCTTGGGGTCTTGGAGAGCTGCTGCTACTCAGAATGGATAATATTGGCTCAATGGGCCAGTGGTCTAACTTGAAGCGAATGCTGTGTGTTCCATTAAGGAGCCGTAGCTCATGGTAACAGCATCTGCTTTGCATGCAGGAGGTCCCGGTTCAATCCCCGGCATCTCCAGGTAATTCTGGGGAAGACCCCTGCCTCAGACCCTGGCAGTCAGCAAAGATAATACTGCATGGATGCTCTGGCTCAGTACAAAGGCAGTTTGCATGTTTGGGTCCTCAGCGATCCAATTGCCAAATGGATGCGCTCAATCAAATGTTTGATGTGCTCATAATGGGAGTACAGTGGTACCTCTGGTTACGTACTTAATTCGTTCTGGAGGTCCGTTCTTAACCTGAAACTGTTCTTAACCTGAGGTATCACTTTAGCTAATGGGGCCTCCTGCTGCTGCCGCGCTGCTGGAGCATGATTTCTGTTCTCATCCTGAAGCAAAGTTCTTAACCTGAAGCACTATTTCTGGGTTAGCGGAGTCTGTAACCTGAAGCGTATGTAACCTGAAGCATATGTAACCCGAGGTACCACTGTAAAAGCACTCTCTGTACTCTCAGGAACACCTTTTTGTCCTTAGGTTTGTTTTTGTTTTTTGTTTTAAAGGAAGCAAAGCTCTGCTCTATTTTGGATATACTTAAAAGGTCCAATGCTGGACCTACTTGGAACGAGCCCTTTGAAATTAATGGACACGACAACTTTAGATCCATTAATGTCGACAGGTCTGCTCTGAGTAGGGCTAGTGTTGGCTGCGACCCAAAGCCTTTCAACTTCACCTGCCAAAAGCTCTGAAAGCAAAAGTTGGCGGATCTGCAGCCCAGCCCAGGACAGCGTTTATCTCTGCACGTCCCGGTAAAGTAGAGACAGGTGGGGAGGATTCCCCCCCTCCCCACACACATAGGTTTTATCCTGAGGCTCCCTTGCAGCCTTTAATCTAGCCCTGTTATCTTAACTCATCATCACTGACTGGAACACTTCTTTTGATGAGCTCTTGATTTAGCTTAGCACATCCTGCCTCTCCATTCCAGCTTCCCTGGAGACAATAGATTTCACTCTCAGGACACAGTTTTAGCTGAATGAAGAACAAAATTAGCCTGGCTGTAAACAAACATTTCTGTTTGGGGGTTATGGAATCCCAGAGAGCCAAACGTGACTTGTGCAATGTCCGTAGGATCAGCGTTTCCTCACCTAGAGTGGCTGGGGTGCTGGTGTAGTAGTTAGAGCCACAGTGGGGGACTTTCTTGGATCCCGAGGGCCACATTCCCTAGTGGACAACACAGACGTCAGTGGCTGGCAGGGCCAGAGGCAAAGCGACTCTTAACTTTGCAGTTTTCCAGCTAGCAAAAAGCAGGTGGGAAATAGGAACAAGGAGAGAGTGGACAGTCTTTATATTGAGAGGCAGGGGGTGGGGGTTGGAACCTGGGTCGAATCCAGCATTAGTAAGAGCAGATGCACCGAAATGAATGGGAGCAACTAACATAGGACCATTCAGGAGGAATTGTTGTTGTTTAGTCGTTTAGTCGTGTCTGACTCTTCGTGATCCCATGGACCAGAGCACACCAGGCACGCCTGTCTTCCACTGCCTTCCGCAGTTTGGTCAAACTCATTGTGCTGGCTTCGAGAACAATATCCAACCATCTCGTCCTCTTGTCGTCCCCTTCTCCTTGTGCCCTCAATCTTTCACAGCATCAGGGTCTTTTCCAGGGGGTCTTCTCTTCTCATGAGGTGGCCAAAGTATTGGAGCCTCAGCTTCAGGATCTGTCCTTCCAGTGAGCACTCAGGGCTGATTTCCTTAAGAATGGAGAGGTTTGATCTTCTTGCAGTCCATGGGACTCTCAAGAGTCTCCTCCAGCACCAGAATTCAAAAGCATCAATTCTTCGGCAATCAGCCTTCTTTATGGTCCAGCTCTCACTTCCATACATCACTACTGGGAAAACCATAGCTTTGACTACATGGGCCTTTGTTGGCAAGGTGACGTCTCTACTTCTCAAGATGCTGTCTAGGTTTGTCATTGCTTTTCTCCCAAGAAGCAGACGTCTTTAATTTTGTGACTGCTGTCACCATCTGCAGTGATCATGGAACCTAAGAAAGTAAAATCTCTCACTGCCTCCATTTCTTCCCCTTCTATTTGCCAGGAGGTGATGGGACCAGTGGCCATGATCTTCGTTTTTTTGATGTTGAGCTTCAGACCATATTTTGTGCTCTCCTCTTTCATCCTCATTAAAAGGTTCTTTAATTCCTCCTCACTTTCTTCCATCATGGTTGTGTCATCTGCATATCTGAAGTTGTTGATATTTCTTCTGGCAATCCTACCACCTGGATCAGGAACCGTCAAGCCACTCCAGTATCCCTGGCAAGAAAACTCCATGGACAAAGACAACAGGAGGAATTAGGTGGATACAACAAATTATTTTCAGATAGGACTGATATTGGATCCATTTCCATCCCTCAATTTCACTTGCATCATGTTTTCTTGCATTATTCTGCTAGCTAATTCTAAGAAATGATGCATTCCTGAAAGGTTATTCTCTCCCCCAACCCAAAATGGTGTGAGTGTGGTAGTGGTGGGGAGGGATTCATATCCTAATCACTAAGCAATCCATATCCTCTGTGTGCCAATCCCTAAATTATTTTGAAAGAAGGCAGCTGTGATGCCTACCTTGAAAAGAAGGGCTGCACAACCTGTTTTCAGCCAGAGGGTTGCATTCTTTCCTGAGGGGCAGATGCCAGAGGGAATCATAGCAGGAGCAATACATGTAAATTTTGCCTTTCTGCAGTAGGCTAGTTCCTACACACACTTTTTGGCATCATCTGTCCAGGCAAGAGGAAAACATGGCCAAAGATCAAGGACGTATTCCAACTGGGCAAAAGCAATCAAGGAGAGCGAGTTAGAGGTGTGGCCCAGGGAGAGGAAGCATAGTCTGAGGGCTGGTGAAAAAAAGTCTAGAGGACCAGGTTTGTCCCCTGTGCCTGAAAAGAAAGTCCCACTGTTCAGCCGCACAAAGAAATAACATCTTTCTATTCCCTCCAGGCCAAACGTCTGTGCAGAGCGACAACTCGCAATGGTCAGTCACCGACAGCCACGCATCAGCTCCTTCTCTCGGTTGGTTAAAGTGTGGAATCCAAGTTGTCGAGGGCATCCATGGTGCTTGGGCTATGAACGGAGGTACGTACCATCACTGCGCTGGGTCTCCCGTATTTGTTTGGTTGCTCTTTCCAATTGCTATGCTGCCCGCATCTTGACAGCTTGGTAGAGCAACCTCTCCACCCCAGACCATGATGGGATGTGTTCTGGGTTGGTTACGTTCAGAGTGGAACCGTTGAAGTTAATAGACACGACTAACTTAGGCCCACTGATTTCAGCGAGTAGGACTTAGTTGGGGGTGCGTACAGCCATCAAAGTGAATGAGCCTATTGCAGTCATGCTCACTGATTTCATAGGGCCGTCTCTGAGGCTGCACCCACACCTTCAATTAAAGCACTATTATACCAGTGCTTTAATAGCTTCCCCTAAGGAATTCTGGCAGCTGCAGTTTGTTAAGGGTGCTGAGCAGTGCTTTTTTTCTTTCCCTAGAAAAAAGAGGTGCCAGAACACACCATGAATGCCTTCCTTGTTCGCTTTTAATGGCAATGGCGCCCACCTAAGAGGTGCCGGAACTGAGTTCCGGCTGGAAAAAAAGCCCAGGCACTGAGAATTGTTAGGAGATCCCTATTTCCCTTACAGAGCTGCAATTCCCAGAGTTTTGGGGGAAGATTGATGGTTAAATCACTCTGGGAATTGTAGCTCTGTGAGAGAAAGAGGGGTCTTCTAACAACCCAGAGGACTCTTAAACTACAGCTTCCAGATTATTATTTTTTGGGAGGGAAGACGTCCTTAAACTGGTGTCATACTGTGTTAAATGTATGGTGCAGATGTGGCCTGAGTAGGACTAACCTTGGACACAACACAGTATAAATATATGAAGCTGCTTACAGCTGCGCTGGCTAACCTTTGTGCCTGCAGATGTTTTGGGATCACAACTCCCATCTTCATCCCTGACCATTGGCCATGCAGGCTGGGGCTGATGGGAGCTGGAGTTCAGCAACATCTGGAGGGGCTCCCCACCCCTTCTGTACACAAAAATCAAACCATTGGTCCATCTAGTTCTGGATTATTTAATTTTACCTCTTGGGCAGCAAGATGAATAATGCAGTTTTGGACAGCAGATGAACTGCAGTGGAATGGAGACAGTGCTGCATGCAACAAATACAGAAACAGAAAATGATGGCTTCTTGCATCTCTACTCATAGTAGATTCATGTCTATCAGTTTCAGTGGGTTCACTTTAAAGAGGACTAACGTTGGGTACAACCCTGTGTCCCTGAAAGAAATGAAGACAGCTCCTTCCTTCCTTTCTTTTTTTAAGAAATTCCTGTCTTGTATTTAAGGAATCCCTTGCAGCCTGTAATTGTCAGCAATTACCTTGCTGATGGAGAGCTGTCCACCAGTAAGGCTGAACTTACTGATTTATTTCTTCTTTTGGTCTCAAAGTCTGTGTCTTTGTCTGGTGCAGAGAGGACACTTTGAAATGTGAGGGGCTTTGTCTGCTGCTGCTGCTACAGCACTTCAAAGGCTCAGAATCCTCCGTCTTGCAAATGTTCGGCTCGCTCTCATGCGATGAATCTCCCTCCATCCCCTCTTTTTAACATTGTAAATCAGGAAGCATAAACACAATCTCTCTTCTCTTCTCCATGAGACTCTAGCTGCTCTCTTCCTGGCTTGAAAAACATGCACGTTTTTGGCACGCAGAGTCAGAGGGGTTTGTGCTTACTGTCAAGTCAGAGCACGGCAACTCGGTAAAGTGGTAGTAAATCCCAGGTTATACCATTGCCGTGTATATTATTTTGCAAGAGTTACATAAGCAAATAGGCAGGGGTCTTGCCCCCAAAACAGAGGCTGTGCTATCAATATTTTAACTGTGTTTGTGTGGCTGAAACGTGGCTGAAACATTAACCCCCCCCCATTTTGTCCTGGAAATTTGGGGGTGGGGGAGCTCACTGCCCATCTCAACAGTTCCTTCTCGGTCACTTTTTCTCCCTCCTGGAAGCCCACGGGAGAATCCTGGCAACTCCAGTAGAATTTGCCTGAAACCCTGGAGAGCCAATCACTGCCGGCAATACTGAGCTAGTTATGGACCAATGGACTGACTCGGTATAGAAAAGGGCTATAACTTGGTGGTAGGGCATCTACTTTGCATGCAGAAGGGTCCCATATTCAACCCAGGGAGTGTTCTGTGCGTGAAATCCTGGAGAGCAGCTGCGGGTCAATGTAGATGATCAGCAGTGGCCAGGGCCCATTGAGACTGGTAGGGTGGCAGGCAGGGAGCCCAACAGTACGTGGCACCAGAGCCAATTAATTCCAGCTTTGACCCCTATCCTTCTCCTGCTGAGTTCTACAAGGGGCAACTCTGACGTGAGGGAGGAAGTGGAAGCTGAGAGATCGTGCGGCCTCTTGGGCTAAGAGAAGAAGGCAGGCTGGTAGGGGCTGACTAAGAGCAGTAGGAGGTTGGTGCCCCGTTTGCCAAAATGGACCAACTTCCACTGTGCTGAGCTAGATGGGCTTACGGTCTGACGGTGTAAGGCAACTCAAGAGCTGTCTCAGTCATAATTTCAGGGTTGTGGGTTTGAGCCCCACGTTAGGTAAAAGATTCCTGTATTGCCAGGGGTTGGACTAGATGACCCTCATGGTCCCTTTCAGCACTGGCGGAGGAACGGGGGGCAGGGGGAGCGCACCGCCCCGGCACCATTGGGGAGGGGGGTACCATCGCGGCCGCCCCCTGGGACATGCACCACGCACCCCCATCCCGCCAGGCACCATGCCCCCACAGGCTGCCGCCATGCCCCCAGGACGGACAACACCATGCCCCTGGGCAGCATGCCACGCCCCCAGGATGCTTGCCACGCCCCCGGGGTGCACGCCAGCCACGCCCCCACCTGCTCTCCGTCCCCAGTGCCCAAGAATGCAGCTTCTCCACTGCCTTCCAGCTCAACACTTCTGTGAACTTCCCTGTGTTCTTACTGAGCTTGAGTTGGGCTAGATTTCAGCTGAACATCAGGAGGCTATATTTTCTTTTCAGTGCAAGTTTTTAATAAGATATATAAGCTTAAATACATGTGCCAACTAGCATATCTCTATATCTGAAGTTGTCTTCAGATAACTCTGTTATCTGAGGCAGCACCTGTGGGTGAAGACCTTTTCATTTCTTTATCCTTCCCTATTGCGGATAACACACCAGAACCACAACAGCTTTTGAAAATATTAATCAACAAGCATGTATTTCACTTGCATTACCCATGTTAATCAACCTTAAAATAATAGTTGGCTGATCTACCAGTTAAAGCAGTCAAAGTTTGCAGCTGGGTTCATGATAATCCTTCAGACCTCACTAGAACCAAAAGAGCATTTAAAAACACTAATAAATGAGTGTGAGTGTTACTAATCAACAGTTATGACTGTGACTTGCTGCCCCCTGTTAATCAACTTAAAATATTAGTTGGCTGATCTACCAGTTCAACCAGTCAAAGGTTGCAGCCCATCTATCCATAATCCTTGGGAGTGAAAGCTCATAGCTCCGCCGTGTATGGTTCATATCATGCAAAGTATGTTTCCTGGCCTCTGTGTTGGCTTCTGGAGCTGTTTCAATTGGCCAACACTGGGCTGTGGAAGCAGATGAATCGGGAGCTTGGCTGCAGCATTGCGGATTTCCTTGATGGGACCAGGGAGGCACGGCAGCTGCTCCACTTTTTTTTGGTTATAAGCAGTTGTGTGACGAAGATTGGACAACAGGGGCATTTAGCTATGGGCATGGCCCAAGCAGGGGTTGCAAAATGGCAGGCAAAGGGCACGCACCACGTTGGCAGTTCTGGAAGAAGTCACACATTATTTAATGTTTTAATTTTTGGCAGGCAACTATCACGACCGATTTTGCCTTGTCATTCCAGGAGTATGTAGTTATGTAACTTTAGACCAAATGTGGGGAGCTTCAGGTCCAGGGGCCAAATGTGCCCCTCCAGACCCCTCTGTCGTAAAATTATAGGAAGGCACCCAACAGAGGGCCATCCAGTCTTCAATGAAATGAGCTAGGATAGTGAGAGGAGGTTCTTCGCATTTTGAGAGAGCTGGACTTCCTTAGATGCCAGATGATCACAGTACAGTGGTACCTCGGGTTAAGTACTTAATTCGTTCCGGAGGTCTGTTCTTAACCTGAAACTGTTCTTAACCTGAAGCACCACTTTAGCTAATGGGGCCTCCTGCTGCCGCTGCGCCGCTGCCACCCAATTTCTGTTCTTATCCTGAAGCAAAGTTCTTAACCTGAGGTACTATTTCTGGGTTAGCGGAGTCTGTAACCTGAAGCGTATGTAACCCGAGGTACCACTGTAGTCTTTAACATTAGGAACAACAATAAATTTATTAATAGCCCTTTCTCTGATGTGCATCAAATTTATGAATGAAGCCCAATACAGTGTTCAAAACATACCCATTAAATATATATACAGTGGTACCTCGGGTTACAGACACTTCAGGCTAAAGACGCTTCAGGTTGCAGACTCTGCTAACCCAGAAATAGTACCTCGGGTTAAGAACTTTGCTTCAGGATGAGAACAGAAATCTCACAGCAGCAGCGGGAGGCCCCATTAGCTAAAGTGGTGCTTCGGGTTAAGAACAGTTTCAGGTTAAGAATGGACCTCCAGAACGAATTAAGTTCTTAACCCGAGGTACCACTGTATACGGAGAGGGAGAAAGGGGGCCGGGGAGAGAGGTTTCTTCAGCCTTACTAGGAGACAAAATGGATTGACTTTGGGATTCTTTGCTGCTGAGCGACAGAAGATGGGGGCAGAGGCGGAGCTAGCTGCTCGGGCAGCCAGAGCGGTGCACATGTCGTGCACCCAGGGGGCGGGGTGAGCCGCCCAGGGGGCTGATCGGCGCAGCAATCGGCACCCAGGGAGGCAATCAGCGCCCATTGGGGGCAATCGGCGTGGTGATCAGTGCCCAAGGGGGCAGCGTAGTGATCCGCCATGGGATTTTGTCACCCCCCTTAAGGATGACACCTGGGGCGGGCCGCCTCCACTGCCCCCCTTCCTATGCCACTGGATGGGGGAGTTGCTCAGGGCTAGGGGGAGCTGGGGGTCTCTTGCCCCAAGGCCCTCAAAACCTGTAGCTGACTCTGGGTCAAAAGACAAAGGTCTGAGAAAAGTCTGCCTGTAGCCAAAGTGTTCAAGCTGGCCTGAATGGCTTTTAAGGAACTGTGTGCACCCACATTCTCTCCCTCTCCCTCTCCATCCTGTGAGCAACACATATCTGGAAGGTAAAATTCCTGACCTCCTCCATCCTGGAACAACGGCGGGCTCTGGAGATGAGAGCAGCATTTTCTGCCAAGCCCAGAGCAAGACGGCCAGAGTGGTTCCACCTGCCCTTCCTCTTCCCCCTCCTCTGGGTCCTGTTAAGTAGGGCTATTTTTCTCCAGCTTAGTTCTCAATGCAATAAGGAGCCATATTAATTTTTATTGGGCCAGCCAACATGAGCTTTTATTGGCATCCCTCTTTGAAACCGCATTGCCTGATAGTTCTCCTCCTTGCGGGGAATCCTTCTTAGGTGGATTCTTCTGCCAAATGGCCGCTCCCACACTGTGCCTTTAGCTGTGCTACCCGGGTCAGAAACCAAACCTGTCAGATTGCAGCAGGGCACCTTGGCCTTCCTGTTGCATGTTGGGTGCTGCCATATGCAAAGTCTAACCAAAGTTCCAGTTGGAGAAGAGAAGCCTGAGAGGTGATCCGATAGCTGTCTTCAAATATCTGAAGGGCCGTGGCGTGGAAGATGGAGGGATACAAAAGTTGGGTTTTTCCTCCTCTCTCTTCCGAGCAGTGGCAAGAGTCCATGGGGTTCTAGACCACCCCCCCTGGGTCTGTGTATCTTTGGAAGACTGAGACACAGTGGAGACTTTCATAGCCATAAGAAATTCGGTTTATTTGCCTATTTACACCTTCAGTCTGCATTGAGGGGGTCCATATCTTACAGCGTGGCCATATTACGAGGGGGTTGTCCCCCACAGCAGTGCAGGTAGCCTTCAGCCAACCTGCCCAAGATGGACCCCAGTCTTTCTTCTGCTGCCTTCTTCCCAGAACCTCTTGCTCCAAAACTCTCTTTTTCCTGTCACCTCAAACACCCCCCATCACCTGGGATACATCTGTCTCCCCAGGCCAAAGGATTCCTCTCTGAGGGACCATCAACCCCTTTTGCCAGGGATTCCTTGCAGTTATGCAGCTTGCACTTTTCATCCATATCCCAACAAATCAAAATCCTAACATTTATCCATTTCTAGGATTTGGGAGGGGGGGTTCCCTCCCAAATCCAGTGTGGTGTAGTGGTTAAGAGTGGTGGACTCGTAATCTGGTGAACCGGGTTCGATTCCCCGCTTCTCCACATGCAGCTGCTGGGTGACCTTGGGCTAGTCACACTTCTCTGAAGTCTCTCAGCCTCACTCACCTCACAGGGTGTTTGTTGTGGGGGAGGAAGGGAAAGGAGAATGTTAGCTGCTTTGAGACTCCTTAGGGTAGTGATAAAGTGGGATATCAAATCCAAATGCTGCTGCTTCTTCTCCTTCTCCTCCTCCTCCTCCTCCTCCTCCTCCTTCTTCCATGACATGGAGCAAACTTGTTTTCTGATGCTCCAAAGGGTAGGATCCAAATCAATTCACGTTGCAAAAAAGGAGGTTCCAACTAAATATTAGGAAGAATTATCTGATGGGAAAAGCCATCTGTCAGGGATTCTTCAGCTGTGATTCCTGAATCGCAGCCAGTTGGACTAGATGGCCCTTGGGATTAGCCAAATTCATGGAGGACAAGGCTATTAATGGTGACTAGCTATGCTGGCTATGTTCTACCTCCACTGTTAGACGGAGTATGACTTTGAATACTAGGTCCTGGAAATTCCAAGTGGGGATATGTGCTGTTGTGCCCAAGTCCTGCTTGGAGGCTTACCAGGGGCATTTGGTTGGGCCCTGTAAGAACAGGATGCTGGGCTAGAAGGGCCACTGGCCTGATCCAGCAAAGGTCTTGTTGGGTCCTCCTACCTCCTGTGCGTAAGCAGCTTGGGAAGAAGTCACTTGTCACTTAGGAGAGTTTCTCAAAGCCAAAATAATTTCTCCTGGTTCTAAACAACCCGCACACCCCTCTTGATGCGAACTGTTAACCGTGGAGGGAATGTAACAACGAGTTTTCATTCATTTTTTTCGAACCTCGGCATGCTTTCCTTGCAGGCCATCTGCTCCATCACTTATATTAAACCTGCGGATTTTTTAAAAAGACGATTGCGTGACGCTGAAAGCAATATCTGTTTTGAGCACAATGGAGAAGGGAGTCTTTTTGGCAGCACGCAACCCAGTTGGGCTTTTTGCCAGTTTGCGAGCTGTTTTGCTGTCTAATGACTGGATATTGCTTTCCCAGACACATCTGGGCCCTGATTGCTTTCTCCATGCTTGGCTGAAATGGGTAAAATATTTTCGTGTTTTCCACCACCCCGTTTTATTTCTCTTTTCCTCCTTGCAAAACTAGACTGGAGATGTTGTACATTTGGATGAAGCTGGGTTATGGCTTAAGGCTTGTTCCCCATGCTAGCCCTACTCAGAGTAGACCTTTTGAAGTTAATGGGCGTGGCTAACTTGGGCTCCTTAATGTCATTGAGTCTACTTTGAGTGGAACTGAGTTGGATACAACCCTGATCATTTGCCCGGCATTGCAAGGAGTTCGGCTGGGTCACCCTTAGGGCAACAGTTGTACCAATCTATGTTTTTATGATTCGGTTTCTTTGTGAATTAAAAGCACTAAGTAACCAGGATTTGTCTGGACACTTAAAAAAAATTTTTTTAATGGATACACCTGGCATTTTCTGCTATGCAGGAAAGTGTGTGTGAGTGCAACACTCGAATACATGCAGTCATTCTGTGGGCTTTTACAGCTAGTTGTGTTTCATCTCTTGCCAATGGGATGTGTTGAAAACATATGTTAAAACCACCACAATGGTCAAACAATGAAGTTAGACTAACTCAGCTGGAGTCTTAATTATATGTGACGTGAACGTATTTTTTTCACCTGTATTTTTGGTCACTTACAGACTTCCACTGGGTTGTTTTTTTGGGTGGGAGTCAATCACATACTGAGAAATTCTGGTTGCACAGTGAAAGTTGATCCTGGTAAGGCTGGGGAAGATTCCTGTCTGAAAACCTGGAGATCCGCTGCCAGTCAGTGTAAACATTATTGGCCCAGATGAACCTTTGGTCTGATAAGGCAGCTTCCTATGTTGCTTCCTATTTGCAATGGCTTGATTGCTCTGGGTTGCAGCCAATGTTAGAGCAGACCCACTGAAATTAATAGACAGAGCTAATTTACCTCCATTAATGTTCAACAGGTCTACTCAGAGTAGGACGAACACTGGGCGCATCTGATTTCTGCTGAATTATGTGGCTGTAGCCTCCAGTTGCAGTAACATATAACACTGCTTGTTTTAATGTTTTCTTTTCTCAGGATGGTGTATTACATGGACAACAGGCAACTCTACAGCATGCAGTACCAGACAGTGTACAGGTGCTGCCCGGGATGGTCTCAGTTTGGAGAGGACGCAGGCTGCCTTTATCGTAAGTGGGCTCTCCTTCATCCTGCCATGTTTTGCCACCTGGGATAGCTCAGTCGGTAGAGCATGGGACTCTTAACCTCAGGGATGTGGGTTCGAGCCCCACGCTGGGCAAAAGATTTCCTGCATTGTAGGTGGGTTGGACTAGACCAGGGACGTCTTAAGCATATCTGGTGCTATCTGGCGCCCCCCCCCCATTTCCCAGAGTTGCACTGCCGGTGACACGCCCAGTTTTGAGGGGCTGGAGGAGGCGGGCAGTGGCTGGAGGGCAACTCTTCCGGTGGGGAAGAGGTGGAGGCTGGACGCGGTGGCTCCTGGCTCAGCTGACTGCTTCGTGCTGCGGTGGCCATGGCTGACGGAGGCTCTGGGCATGGCGTGGTGCTGCTTCAGCGCAGCATGGTGGAGGTGGGTGAAGGTGGCGAGCTGATGCTGGGAGGTGCCACGTCCAGCCTCTGCCTCTTCCCTGGCACCCTCCAGAACTTGGCGTCTTGTGCCACTAGCCTCTATGGGTAAGATGCCCCTGGACCAGAGGACCTTGTGGTCCCTCCCAGCTCTGCACATACAGAAACTCAGAGAGATACATGCATATGCTCGTGATTTAGGCCTTGTCTTTTGATGATATCCAAGGTGGCTTACAACAGGTATGAGCTGTTCCTGCACGTGGGCAAGTGTGTACATTTGTTGATTTGCACACCTCGGCGACCCAGGCGTGCAGAGTGCACCCTCGTAGGACGGTGTAGGTGAGCAACCACAAAGTTTGCGCATGCAGATTGTGCGGTGTGCGAACACCCCTGCTGGCCCAGTGCAAAGCGTGTCGTGCTTCTTAACAACAGGGTAGCAAATACAAATTCTCTCTGTGTGTGGCAGAGCAGAGGGACCAAACATTTGCTGAATCTCTGAGCAGTTGTATGCGCTCAAAGGAACACAGAGCAAATGAATGGGAGGTGGTGATAGTGTGGAGGACCAAAGAGGTCTTCTCAGAGAGGGTGGAAGCCTTATGAGGGCATCTTTCCCAGATGGAAGTGGATACTGTACTGTATATAAGCTTCTTCCCTGGCCATACAAGGCTAGGAAGCTCTGGCTTGGGGTCCAAATGTGATCCTCGTAAGTCTCTCTTAGGCCACATCCTCTCTCCACAGGCCACACCCCTTGGCAGCCATGTTTTGCACACCCCCCAAGTGTTTTTGTCTGGTTGGAGTGCATCTTTGAACTCCACTAATGCTTCTTGCTTGTCAGGATGTAGAACAGAGAGGAGTGTGCTTTGGTGTGATGTACTGTAGAAACAAGGCGACTGTACAAACATAAAATTTGCATTCATTGCTCTGCCTACTCTTGCCTCTGGCTCTGCTGCTATGTGGCCCTGAAAAGGTTGCTCAGAAGGGATGAAGGTTTTGGGTTGAAAAAGATCCCCCACTCACCTCCTAGGATGAACAGTGCTCTTTCTACCTCCCCCCACTCCACTCCCCCCCAAAAAACCCCCCCTGGAATTTTGGTCACAGACAGCATGGATATCATTGTGCAAGTTTCTATTTTGGTTCCAGCATCGAGGAGACAACCTCAGAAAAATTACCAGCTTGCATAACCCGACTTCTATACCCATCTGTCTTCCTCATTTGTGGAGAAAACAACAACTAAATGGAGGTATTTCAAGTCCTGAGCTATAACCTCTGAAACAACTTGAAATGAAACTTTTTTAAAAACAAGAATTTCATCTATGAAAAGATAGAGTAAAGAAAGAAAAAGAAAGAAAGAGAGAGAGAGAGAGAGAAAGAAAGAAAGAAAGAAAGAAAGAAAGAAAGAAAGACCATTACATTTTCATACATTAATATACAGATGTGCATATTCTTATTATCCTAATGCACATATAATTGTCAGTAACCCAATATATTATTTGTAAACTCATTCCATATATTGCTGTATTTATCCAAAGTCTCCGTTTATAAGCTGTCTGTTCGTATGTTGCCAATGTTGTCACATTGTCAAGCCATTGATTAAGGGGGAATCATATCTCTGTTCTTCTAGTTCATTAGTACTATGAAACTTGGTGAAGGTGATCTTATGGCTTGAGTGGCATGTGCCCTCCCCAGGGATGCCCAGAAGACTGAAAGAAGTTCTCCACTCTTGGCCTAAAGGGGTGTGGGGAGAAGAAGAATCAACTCTATTCCAGTTTGCAAAGACATTGTGATCTGGTGGTGATGCTTATTCCTACATAGGACCTCAAAGTAGGGTTTTTTTGTTTGTTTGTTTGCTCCCCACAAGTGTGTAGCAAAGCAAGAGAAATATTCTGAAGAATCTTGTCTTTGTTTTCTACCCTTTCCATTGTTCTTGGTTGGTTCTTACTTCTTCTTAGCATGGAAGGTGTTCTAAGTTTACATCATTGAAATGCTAGTTGGCTCAAGGTCCGTCCCTATTTAAAGCAAAGACCTGCACTGAGGATATTAAACTCTGGACTGTTTTTGAGATCCATTCTCCTCATTTTTCAGAATGTTTATAGAAATGATCAGGCCGCCGGGAGTTGCCTGATATGCCTTTGCGCTCTGCTAGTGCGATGCGTTCTGGAGTTTTTCCTAATAGCTTGGGCTGCAGAAGGTAAATTGGGAATCACTCTATGTACACTGATTAATTGTGTGGGGAAAGGAGCCAGGCATTGTTGCTCATGGCTGGATAAGACCGCAGGCCCATTATAGTCCAGCATTCCATTCCCAAAGTCTAGAGAGATGCAGTGGTGGTGACGATTATTATGAATTTGGCGAGTCTGTCTAGATGAAACCCTGGATTTCTTTCCCAAACTCGCAATCCCGTATCTCTGAGGGTGGAATGCATACGCGCAAGCTTTGCCAACCCAGGTTCCTTTGTCAAGGCAATGGCTTTGGCTGGCCAGCTAAGTACCACAATTTAAAAGTCCAAAAGGTTGCCATAGAAGCAAATGGGTGTGGCTTTCCCTACCCCCTCAATAGCCAGAGCAGTGTGTGAGAGTTGGCCGGATGCTGCAGACTGGAGGGAGCGAGGCAGGTCTTCCACTGCTCTGGATTTTGGAAACCTGGTGTTATGTATGTACTGAAGTTCTCACCCTGGGCCTGCAGGGGGATACTGTAGATAGTTTTCACTCAGGTCCACATATGCAAATAAGGGATTGAAAGTGACGTTCAGTGATTGGATAGTTACAGAAAATGGTTACTGTTGTGTTCTAGTGGAGCTCTATATAAGCAGGCTGGCTGAACCCTTCAGTTCAGTTCTGTTCTGGCCTGTGAATAAACAAGAGCTGTTTGAAGAATCGCTGTGTAGTCTGATATGTTCACCCACAACTTAACACCTAATCGGGAAGCAGCCTCTGTTGGAGTGTTAATGCTGTGAGCCCCTCCCTCCCAGGTTGTGTTTATGCATAGATAAAACTATATATTCTAATTCTGGGCCCAGAAATTGGCTTTACCAGCCAACACTGGTGGACGGCACCCCTAGCATTATAAAATCATGTTGAAGATAAACAAAACATTGCACAGGAATTCCCTTTAAAGCAGGATTGCTTTGTTTTATTGTGTATTTTTAAATTGCAAGAAAGGAGATTCCAACTCAACATTAGGAAGGACTTTCTGACATGAAGATCTGGCTGACTGTGGAATGGACTACCTCAGAAGGTGTTGGGAGTCTCCTACACTGGTGGTTTTTAAACTGTGGTCAGCTGCGATTCTTGCATTACAGGGGTTTGGTCTAGATAGCCCTTGGGGTCCCTCCCAATGCTACAATTCTCTGATTCACGATGGATGTTTTATAGTTCAGTCAGTGGTTGTGTAAATAGGTTAATACTGCTTAGAAACCTGTCTTGCAGTCTACAGATTAATAAACAGTGAATTTGTAACAACAACCACCATAATACTTAACTCAAGATGTGGCCAGTTTGTCTGTTGTGGAAGGGTGATGAAGAGAGTAAAAAATAAAATAAAATAAATAATATCAACAACAACAGTTCAAAGGAAACTTTGGATAGGGACCAGATAATGGCCTTATCTGAACTCGGCAAAAAGAAGAAGAAAAAAGTACACCCAAATTGGCAATCGGCCAATTAGCTCAACTCAGGAGGGAAAAGAACTTTCATAAAGGTTTCCTGCAGAGGAAGTGAATAATTCCATTCAGGAAAGCAGAAGTCCAGTATAGGAAAGAGAGACGCCTAGAGCAGCATCTTAGCTTGCCATTTGAACTGCTGGCACGGAGAAGGGAGAAGGAAATCTCTCATTTGTAGCTGGAAAGGGGCGAGAGAGATAATGGGGGCAGACACGAAGAGGAAGAGCGTCTGTGCAGAAGAAAAATGATAATAATAGTCTGTGTCTGTTTATGAACTGGTGTGTAATTTGTCGGAGGAACCCAAAGTTAGGAATGTTTGTGTTTTCGCTCCCCACACCCCCGCATGCTAACAGGAACGGCCTTAAAAGCTAATGAGCTTCAGTGTTTGCCGGTCTCTGTGTTGTTGCCAGCTAGCAATTGTCACGAGTTTTTGTATGGCTGCAGTTGGAGCAGCAACTGGCATGCTGTGGAGAAAGGGGAGAGGGGAAACACACACACACACACACACACACACACACACACACATCCCACCCCACCCCTACCCTACAACCCAGGAACCATCCAGTGAAGTTCTGAAGATGTTGACCCACCAGCTGTGAAAAAGGCAAATTCCATGCTAGGGATCATTAGGAAAGGAATTGAAAATAAAACTTCTCATATCATAATGCCATTGTACAAATCTATGGTGTGACCACGTTTGGAATACAGTAAGCCTACATGTAATGTGTTTAACTTGTGTGCATTCAGCTTACCTGCAGGGCAATTTAAAAAAGAAATGTCTTCCAGGGAAAATTTCTTTGGCATTGCAAACCGCCATTGAGCCCAATGGGTCTTGTCTATACACGATTTTGGCTTTAGGCACGATCCTTGGAACATAATGTAAGTCGCGGGCTTACTGTACTGGGTATGGTTCTGGCTGTCTCACCTCAAAAAGGAGCTGGAGAA